GAAGACAGAAAAGGACGTAGGGGAGGTATCCAGACACTGAGGACTGTATTAATAATCTGTGTCCTCCAAGCCCAGTAGAGGCTTGTCCCTGAAACCCTGTGATCTGTTAGGCAGTCGAATCTCAGTCTCAGTTAAATATTTGGATGCAACTAGCAAGGGCTTGAAAGAATTGATACAGTTTTCCAGATTTCTTATCTCAGTTCTAATAGAGGAAGAGAAACTGACATGCCAAGATTCTAAATTAGTTTGTCTCAGAGTTTTCTCCTTATTCTCCTACCATCCCTAAAGGGATTAGATTTACGGTCCCCATTAAAGAGTGAAGGAGCTCATGCTGCACCCTCTGGTCTAGGGCTAGGTGGGATGGGGCACTGCCCTCTCCAGCCTGATGCATTCCTTCTCACTCACTATTACGCTGGATGATCTCATCCCACTCAAACCCAGAAAGCCTGCTTATTATTTTAATTACAAATACTTATAAAATTCCTTATTTATTGGTGCATGTAACCTGTTTCTGGCTTACATTTACACACACACACAAACACACACACACACCTATATATATGTATGTGTATATATATATGTGTGTGTGTGTGTGTATATATATATATTTTTTCTTTTTTCTTTTTTCTTTTTTGATGGAGTCTTGCTCTTATCGCCCAGGCTGGAGTGCGGTGGGTGGCACAATCTTGGCTCGCTGCAACCTCTACCTCTCGGGTTCAAGTGATTCTGTTGCCTCAGCCTCCCAAGCAGCTGGGACTACAGATGCTTGCCACCACGCCCAGCTAATTTTTTGTATTTTTAGTAAAAACGTGGTTTTACTGTGTCAGCCAGGATGGTCTCAATCTCCCGACCTCATGATCCACCTGCCTCAGCCTCCCAAAGTGCTGGGATTACAGGTGTGAGCCACCACACCCAGCCACATATGTATTTTTAATAGAGAAATTACTCTTCCTTGGGAGGCTGAGGTGGTCAGATCACTTGAGGTCAGGAGTTCAAGAACAGCCTGGCCAACATGGTGAAACCCTGTCTCTACTAAAAATACGAAAATTAGCCAGGCATTGTGGTGTATACCTATAATCCCAGCTACTCAGGAGGCTGAGGCAGGGGAATCACTTAAACCCAGGAGACAGCAGTTGCAGTGAGCTGAGATCAAGCTGCTGCACTCCAGCCTGGGCAACAGAGCAAGACTCCATCTGAGAGAGAGAGAGAGAGAGAGAGAGAGAGAGAGAAATTACTCTTCCATCAACCTTGAATTTTTCATTTAGTAGAAAATAAAAATTATATGGGTTTTAATATCTGTGGCCCTTAAATAGAAACATGATTTAGTCCTAAATAAGCACTAGATTCTATTATCAAGGCTCTACTGTAATCTATCCCAAATCCAAGGAGGGGAGGAGGGCATTCTCATTGGCTTATTCCCCAGTCATTCTATTGAAGAATGACTGATTATTACAAGAGTCTTGATTATTTGGGGACAAATTTGAATTCTTGTAGCTTTCAAGTTTTGTTCAGAATTTTGTCTTCTGAAGCCATTGAAGAGTAAAAGAGCTCATGCCTCACCCTCCAGAGGGCTAGGTGGAATAGGGTGCCGCCCTCTCCAGCCTGATGTGCTCCAGAGCAGCTGATCCCCCAATCCCAGCCCAGGCACAGCCCTTCACCTGAAGGCCACCCACATCAGATATCCCTAATGCCCTCTGCTCATGGCCAGACACCCTCTAGGTTCTCTCCAGACACCTGCTTTCCAGCCTTCTCAGCATCCAGGCAGTTGCTCTTCAGACACCGTTCTCCTCTGGTTCATCAACAAGTAGTTCCATTCAACGTGGTGCTAAGGAATAAAAATGACTGGCCACATGTTGTCTTGCCAGCCCAGAGAGACATGCCATTTAAGCTGTCTTCACTGTTTCTCCCTCATTTGGTAGATTGCTTTTTCCTCTCAAGTTTTTTCCTCTCCATGAGCCCCTTGCTATTTGTGAACGACATTAAGCTATTTCTCCGCTCCCTTTCCTCAAAATATAAACAGACTCGATGTTTGCTACCTAATTTTCTTTTTCATGCCTCATCTCACCTTTGTTCCCTGTCTTTAAGCTTTCTATTTGGGCACGTGTTTTTCTTTAAATTTGCAGCATTTGGTGCTGTGACCAATTATCCGGGGTAATTGCTCCTCATTTAAGAACCCCTATTCTTTCTCATTAAAGACCAGACAAGAATACATCCTCCCATTGACCAGGTGCACCAGATCTCTTACTTATCTCCAGTTCACCCTTTTGCAGTTTAGTGCTTAAGAGCTCATTCACAGAGGGGCGTAATTTGAGTGGCTTGCCAGGCTTGCTTAGTCGGGGCAGCTGGCTGTTCTGTTCTGTCCCCTCCGGCTGTAAGAGACTTAGCTTGCCTCTGAGCTCCTTCTCTTCAGGGTCGCCAGGGCTCTGCTAAATGCACAAAAAAGAACTTTTTTTTTTTTTTTTTTGGTGGGGGAGGTCATGTATCTTTACAAACCTCGATCTAATTAAGCTTTCTCCTCTAGTTCCCAGGTATCTCCGTAATGACTGTCCACTTTGTCATTCTGAGGTTGTAAAATGAGGCTAATGGCCCTTTCTCATTGCTTCTATCTGCACTGGCTTGTCAAACTCCACAGCTCTTTGATTGGTCATCATTCTTTGCTGCTGTTAGAAATGTGATTTCTTGGTGATGAGATATACCCCCTAAAATATGTGTGTTAAGAGTTCCCGTGCTGTGTGTTTGAGAATTCAGATGAGTACAAAAGTGAGTATTCAAAGAGAGAGGACCCTCTTTGGATCCGTAACTTAAAATTCTAGTCAGCAGCCCTTTGGAGATGTAAATGGAGGAAGCAGCTCTCCTTTTGGACAGCTTAATGATCTGTAGTTAATAGCAAGAGGCTGATGGGCAGATGCAGTACAGCTGGGCTTAGGTTAGCCTTTCTCAGCAATCAAATGGCACAGTGATTACAACCATTGAGACACACGGTGCTTCCCGGAATCATACCAAAGGCACAAAGACTGTGGCGGGAGGTTGGCAGTGTGGCCTGCTCTGTACACACAGACAAGTCCTTCTGCCCCAGTCAGTAATTGATGCCTCTTTTTTAAAGACTGACTCAGGCTTGGCAGTTGTCTATGCAACAAATAGCCCCTCCAGCAACTCTGAGATAAAGAGTGCTAGATTTGGGGTCACTAGGCTTGGCAGTTGTCTATGCAACAAATAGCCCCTCCAGCAACTCTGAGATAAAGAGTGCTAGATTTGGGGTCACTTCTCCTCCTACCCGAATGTACCCAGTTTCACAGAACTTGGGAGAAACTGAGTGTAACTTCTCGGTAACAAATAAGCTATACAATACACAGCTGCTGGAGGTGGTTGATGTATTCTTATACCTTGTTTTTAAAATTTGGCTTGTAGTTACTGTGTGTTATCAGATCCATTTACAATTCCCAGCATCTTTCCAACATCCCTCAAAAATCCCTACAGGAACAAAAAATAAATAAACAACCCCATTCAAAAATGGGCAGAGGACTTAAATAGACATTTCTCCAGAGAAGAAGTACAAATGGCCACTAAGCACACGATGCTAAGCACAAGATGTTCAACATCACTGGTCATTAGGGAAATGCAAACCCGAAGCTTAATGAGTTGCCATCTCTCATTCATTAGGATGGCTATTATCAAAAAAGAGAAAATTACGATTGTTGGTGAGGATGTGGAGAAATTGGAAATCTTGTGCGCCAAGAGCGGGAATGTAAAACGGCACAGCCATGATGGAACACTGTATGGATGTTCCTCAAAAAGTTAAAAATAGAAGTGCTGTATGACGTAGCCAGTCCACTTCTAGGCAGCTACTCAAAGCAATTGAAAGCAGAGTCTGGAAGAGTCAGCTGTACCCCCATGTGTCACAGTAGCTTATTTACAATAGCTGCAAGGTAGAGGCAACCTTTGTCTATAAGTGTGGTATGTACATGCAATAAAATGTCATTCAGCCTTAAACAGGAAGGAAATTCTCACACATGCTACAACATGGATAAGCCCTGAGGACATTATATTAAGTTAAATAAGCCAGTCACAAAAAGTCAAATACTGTGAGTTCCACTTATATGAGGTACCTGGAGTAATCGGATTCAGAAACAGAAAATGAAATGGTGGTTTTCAGGTGCTGGGGTGGGGAAAATGTTTAATGAGTATGGTGTTTTCGTTTTACCAGATGAAAAGAGTCTGAAGATGGATGCAGGTGATGGTTTGCGTAACACTGAATATCCTTAAAGTCACTGAAATGTAGACTTAAAAATGGTTAATAAGGCTGGGCGTGGTGGCTCATGCCTGTAATCCCAGCACTTTGGGAGGTTGAGGTGGGCGGATCACCTGAGGTCAGGAGTGCGAGACCAGCCTGGCTAACATGGTGAAACCCCATCTCTACCAAAAATACCAAAAACTAGCCAGGCATAGTGTCGGGCACCTGTAATCCCAGCTACTCGGGAGGCTGGGGCAGGAGAATTACTTGAATCTGGGAATGAGGGTTGCAGTGAGCCAGGATTGTACCATTGCATTCCAGCCTGGGCGACAAGAGCAAAACTCCATCTCAAAAAAAAAAAGTTACTAACACAGAGTGGGGCCGGTTGGGGGGCAGCGTGGGTGGGGAGAGCATTAGGAAACATAGCTAGTGCATGCTGGGCTTAATACCTATGTGATGGGTTGATAGGTACAGCAAACCACCGTGGCACACGTTTACCTATGTAACAAACCTGCACATGTGCCCTGGAACTTAAAATAGAAATAAAAAATAATTAAATAAAAATGGTTTAGATGGTATTTAAGTTATGTTTGTTTCACTACGGTTTTTTAAAAAGCACAACTGAAAGATGCCATCTTCTCTCAGCAGCCCAGGCTTTGGAGGAAGACTAGAAATCAAAGGAGAAAAGGAAAACAGAAAACAAACAGCCAGTGGAATGGATCTTGTCTTTATATGGAACTAATTGCAAATATGTGTATTTTTCTTACAGAGTCATTTTTCTCTCAAGAAGGGAGCTGCAGCCTTAGGGATTGGAACAGACAGCGTGATTCTGATCAAATGTGATGAGAGGTGAGAATGCATCTCTAACTCTTGTTGGTTACCAAAAACCAGTGCCTTTTGGTCTGAAAACAGGACAGGACCACGGGGCAGCAAGTCGGCCTCCCTCTCAGCCTTTGCCACTCTTTGTTTCTTTTAAACATGGGCTCCTGTTTCTAGTGCTCGATGTGGTTCCTTGATGCCATGGAGTCTTCCATGTCAAGGAGTCAAGGGAGATTCAGCCCTTGACTCAACCTAAACCTTTGTTAAATCAATAGGAATATTCAACACCAAGAAAGTGCAGGACATTTATCACCTAGACATGTTAGCAACAGCAGGCGATCTGAGCACTGATTTATGGAGGTGTCATCACTTTGGGCACCATAGACTGTGTAAGCTTGATGGGGTGATTACAGGAGGGGTGCAGTTTAGGGAGCAGGAGGTAAATAACGCACCAGCAACTCAACACCTGTAACCAAAGGACTCAGGAAAAATCTCTGTCTTAATTGACACTGGAACTTCATAGGCACTCTAGGATTCAGTGTGGTGTTTTGTGGGGGAGATTTAAAAGCACTTTGAGGATGTCCACATAAAGTATCACTGACCTATAGGCCTGAAACCTACTAAAAATTCGATTCAGTCTCTAAAGTTTGAGTAAGAATTTTCACTAAATTTAAAGGAAACCACTCCATTAGCCATTTATTTATTCATTTGCATTTATCAGTCAGATGTGTACTGATTGCCCACCATGTCACTAGGCTCTAGAAAAGCATAATACGGAAGTCCTGGTTCCCTGCAGGATGTGAGCCAGGTGGGAAGAGGCACTTCTTGTCAGGAGATGGTTACATGGTTGAACTGCATGGCACGAAGTGTACATTTGAACATTGAGAAGACATAGAAAGCGTCATGCAACAGGCAGGAATTGAGCTGGATTTTTAAAATTAGAAGTGAGTTGGATAAGTGGATGGAGAGGCAAGGGCAGGTGTAGAAGATTGAATACCAGCAGCAAAGCTGTTGCAGGAAAGGGGTCCCAATACAGACCCCAGGCGAGGGTTCTTGGATCTTGCGCAAGAAGGAATTCAGGGCGAGTCCAGAGAGTAAAGTGAAAGTGAGTTTATTAGGAAAGTAAAGGAATAAAAGAACGGTTACCCCATAGACAGGGCAGCCTGGAGGCTGCTGGTTGCCCATTTTTATGGTTATTTCTTGACGATAAATGAGGGGTGGATTATTCATATCTCCCCTTTTTAGACCATATAGGTAACTTCCTGACATTGTCGTGACATTTGTAAACCGTCATGGTGCTGGTGAGAGTGTAGCGATGAGGATGACCAGAAGTCACTCTCGTGGCCATCTTGGATTTGGTGGGTTTTGGCAAGGTCTTTATGACCTGTCTCTTGTGCTGACCTCATATCTCATCCTGTGACTTAGAACGCCTTCACTGTCTGGGAATGGAGCCCAGTAAGTCTCAGCCTCAGTTTCCCAGCCCCTGTTCAAGATGGAGTTGCTCTGTTTCACATGCCTCTGACAAACCACAGAAGAAGTAATGAGTGCCTTGTGGGGCTCTAGAAGCCAAGCCTTAGCAGAGGCATGGGGAAGGGGCAGCCTGGTAAATACCATTGTTTACATGGAATTCGGAAAGCTCTAAAAATCCAGCTGGGCACAGTGGCTCACACCTGTAATCCTAACACTTTGAGAGGCTAAAACAGGTGGATCACCTGAGGTCAGGAGTTCAAGACCAGCCTGGCCAACATGGTGAAACCCTGTCTCTACTGAAAATACAAAAATTAGCTGGGTGTGGTGGTGTGCGCCTGTGGTCCCAGCTACTTCGGAGGCTGAGCAGGAGAATCACTTGAACCCAGGAGGCAGAGGTTGCAGGGAGCCGAGATCATGAAACTGCACTCCAGCCTGGGCAACAAAGCAAGACTCCATTTCAAAAAAAAAAAGAAAGAAATCTCTGAAAACAGCCATGTTTACCTCTGTTACTGAACCAAACTGAGGTTTGTTCACCAGCAGCAGTGAGGCCAAACATCTACATGGAGATTTACAGCAGGAGGAAGGAGGACATTTATTTGCAGGGCTCCAAGCAAGGAGAATTGAGCACTGATGCTTAAGACTTGACTTCCCCAATGGTGTGCAGGTAGGGGTTTTTAAAGGCAGGGATAATTTCAGGGAGGCCGAAGTTACAGGCAAATTACAAATCAATACATGGAGGTTACGCATCAGTTTGGCCCGAAAGGGTGGGATATCTTGAAGTGGGGAATTACAGGACATAGGTGAATTCAGAGGTTTTCTGATTTGCTGTGGGTTAAGGAAGAGAAGGTTTTGTTTAACAATTTGGGGTCAGCAGAAAAGAATGCTAGCTCTGGCTCAGAGGCACACCTCCCTCCAGGCCCTTCAGGAAGAAATTTAGAACAAAGAAAGGTGGTCAGAGTTCAGACCTCAGTTTCCCCTCATCTGAGGTCTACGATCCATTTGGTAGGAGTCCTGGAGTCCTGGCTTCTGAAAAACAACCCAAGGACATATGTTAAGATGTTACCTTTAGTTTCTACAGGGAATCAAATATCCTGTGCTTCTAAATTGCTCAGCTATTGCTTTAAGGATACATGTTAAGATGTTACCTTTAGTTTCTAGGTTTTGTTGTTGTTTTAGACGAAGTCTTGCTCTGTTGCCCAGGCTGGAGTACAGTGGTGTGATCACAGCTCACTCCAACCTCTGCCTCCCAGGTTCAAGCATTTCTCCTGCCTCAGTCTCCTGAGTAGCTGGAATTACAGGCATCTGCCACCACACCCAGCAAACTTTTTTGTCTTTTTAGTAGAGACAGGGTTTCACTATCATGGCTAGGCTGGTTTCAAACTCCTGACCTCAAGTGATCTGCCCACGTCAGCCTCCCAAAGTGCTAGGATTACAGGCGTGAGCCACCATGCCCAGCCTTACCTTTAGTTTCTACAGGGAATCAAATATCCTGTGGTTCTAACTTCCTCAGAAGTTGCTGGTTTACTTCTCCGGGTTAGCTAGTGCCTGGAATTTCCCTTGAAGGAACCTGTTTCCCTTTATTTCCAGACTTAGGAATGTTGCCTGAAGGCCACTAAAAGGGCTCCTGCCCCACTCAGCTCTGGGAGATGAGGTTAAAGAAGGTTACCACTTTCTTGTTTACACCTTTTTATACTGCCTGCTTTTGTTTGTTGACAGAGAACATACCTTTGCAATGGGGGTGGCGGGAAGGTGGGGAGGTGTTTTTTTTTTTTTTTTGGTGGGGGGCAAGGGGAGCTAAAGTTAGGATTTAAGCTGGATAGGTCTGGAAATGAGGTAACTGGAAAGAATTTTCATTAAAGAAGAACATGAGTGAGGCCACCCTTCAGGAGGCAAAAAAGTGAGAGGATCTCCAGTCAGGAAGGCCAGTGGGAGACCCTAGCAATAGACAGGCATTAACGATAAAAGGACAGAGCAAGGCAAACACAATTTGGAAAAGAAAACAAATTGCCTCTCTTTTGTTTTTGGGTGGCCGGGAATAGAGTCTCGCTCTGTCACCCAGGCTGGAGTGCAGTGGCACAATCTTGGCTCACTGCAACCTCTGTTTCCTGGTTCCTGGGTTCAAGTGATTATTTTCCTCAGTTTCCCGAATCACTGGGACTACAGGTGCACGCAACCACGCCTGGCTATAGGTTTTGTACTTTTAGTAGAAATGGGATTTCACCCTGTTGGCCAGGCTGGTATCGAACTCCTGGCCTCAAACAATCTGCCCATCTTGGCCTCCCAAAGTGCTGGGATTACAGACATGAGCCACTGTGCCTGGCTTGCCTCATATTTTTAAGGCTACCAGTATTCCTTACTAGCAAGCACTTAAGAATTGAGATTTGAGGAAAAAAACTGGCTTTTAAAAATGTGGAGAATAAATGCTTAGATGACTTTAAAACTTTCTTAATCTGTAGTTGATCTGTTATGAGTGAGGAGCCCGGAGTTCAGGGAAGAATCACCTAGAGGGGCCACGGCTCGCTGGCCTAGGCAGTGTTCCTTGCTAGCCTCAGCGGCTGGCATTCTCTAGTGAATCCCAGCGGGCTGAGAGGTGACTGGCAGAGCAGCAGGGGCTCTGGACTCCAGTGTTCAAAGCATCGGTATCACTGCTTCTACTACCGTGAAAATCCAGTGTGGCAGCAGAAATGGTCTTGGATGAGCACACCAAGCCAGCCAGCTGGGTTGTCATGGGAATAAGAGGCCGGCCTGAGGACATCCGCCGGTCTGAAGGCATCGCTCTGCTCACGAGAGAAGTGCAGGCCTAGAAGAAGGAAGATCAAGAAGGGAAAACAGAGGAGTGGTGGGGAAAGGGACCATGGACAGGGCTGCCGGGATAAAGGCAGGTGGGATTTGCCATGCACCACCAGGAGACCAGGAGGGCAGGGAAGAAGGCTGGAGAGCTGGTGGGGCCTGCGATCAGTGACTGGCCAGGGGTCCTCAAACGTGAAAGTCAAAGAATTTTATTTCAACAATTATTTTTTTAAGACATGGGGTCTTGCTCTTCACCTAGGCTGTAGTGCAGTAGAGTGCAGTAGTAGCTCACCTTGAATTCCTAGACTCAAGCAATTCTCCCCTATCAGCTTCCCAAGTAGCTGGGCCTACAGGCCCACAATGCTATCCGCAGCTCATTTTTGTTTGTTTCAGAGTTGGAGTCTCACTCACTATGTTGCCTAGGATGGTCTTGAACTTCTAGTTTCAAAAAATCCTCTCATCTCATTCTCCCAAGTGGCCGGGATGAGTCATCACACCCTGCTTAATTCAACAATTTTAGAAGTCATTAGAACAACAATTAGAAATAGAATGCTAAAAGGTATGTGTTTTTCAGAAAATGGCTCACTCTCTAGTGTCCCTATCTACTCACATACACCCCTTGGGAGAGACACAGGGAAAAGGGCCCCTGAGCAGCTAGGGCTGGGGGCTTTTTCCCTTTCCGCTCCTAAGCTTTGTGGGAGGGGGAAGGAGGAAGAGCCAGGAGAGGAAGGAGGAAGAAAGAAGGAAATGGGAAAGGGCAAGCGGGGTAA